CGGGCTGCCGGTGCCCATGGCCTCGCCCGTGCTGCCGGCGGCGGTCGCTCCGCAAGACGCAGAGCCGGGTGCTCGGTGCGCCCGCGAGTGGCCGCCGGGGAGGTACTGTGTGGAGCGGCGACAGCTCCTCCCGGCGCTTTTCTGGGCTCGTCGCGCGGGTCTCGCGCTTATTCAGCCTCCGAAGCCCTCGCGCGGCCCCGGGAAGCCGGCTTGGAGGGGAAGCCCGAGCTCCGGGCGCACGGCTGGTGGGGACGCTCAGCCCCGCCGTGCCGGGCGGGCTGCGGTCCTCGGCCTGAGCAGAGCCGTCGTACTGCCGCGGACACTAGCCCCGGCTCCCGTGGAGGGGCCGCGCGGGAGGCCTGGGCTCCAGCCGAGCCTGCTGCACCTTCCGGTTGTACTGACAGGCTCCCCGCGGCGCTGGGCGGCCGAGCCGGCGCGCACGGACTTCTGCCTAGAGCCGGCTTCCAGCAAGCCAGGGCGCTCTTCTGGCCAGAGCGTTGGCGCGGCAGAGCTCTCTTCTTCGTAGCTCTCTTCCAGCCCGGTAAGGGCGATCATCCCTGCCCTTCCACCCGGAAGACTTGCTCTTCATTTGCCAGTCCCACTCCTCTCACGCTGTTAGTCTGTCGAGGCAGACTTACCTTTCTTTCCTAACTGAAGAGTTCTTAACCTGATCTTCCACCCCTTCCCCCGGGGGCTCCTGCAGTAGGGTCCACCTGCTGTGTTCGTCGGGGGTGGGGGGGCGGGGGGGGTGCTCTCCACACTGGCGCCGCGCTTTCCTGTCCCTGCCAGTCCGGGCCCCTCCCCTTTCCCCTCCTCGGCCCAGCAGCTCGAGGGTGTGTGTGTTGAGAGCACAAATCCAGAGTGGGCTGCTTCCGCTCAGCGTCTCTGTCCACCCTTTTATCCCCAAGTCAGCCTGCTGCCGCTGTGCGCGTGCCGGCGCCTCTTCTCGGGCCTCTGGTCCTGACTGTCCTGTGCGCTTCGTGGCTCTGGCTGCGGAATGCTCTCGGGGTTCCACTGGCCCCTTGCTGCCTGTTTGCACTCATGGCCTCGCTGTGCCAAGCTAATGCCCTGACCTTACAGCCCTGTGCAAGGAGCCCTGCAAGGCTGGGCGCTGGGGGTCGACGAGGCACTCGTTAGGTCCTGGTGACCGCGCTCTTCTTTCCCTGAACCTGAGTCGTCACAGCTTTGCCCCTGGTGAGGAGCAGCGTGTAACGAGTGTGGCTGCCGCATTGGCACGGACCCTCAGGGCGGGGACTCCAGTGTGTAGCGCTTCTAAAGCAGCAGCTTGCGAGCTCACTGCACAGGGCTCTCAAGCTGATTCTACTATACGCATTTTTTTTTTTTTTTGGCCGTTTTCTTAAAGAGTGTTACCGGGACGGACCAGTTAAACTGAGTTGCACTAGGACCTTGAAGAACCCTTTTCTCAGGTCCTCTGTGTGGTGGTCCAGAGTAGACTGGGCAGCAGGTGCCTGGGTGGGCAGTTGTTTTCCTGGTGGCCCTGCAGGCTCTTGCTGGGCCCCCGCGAAGCAGGCAGTGCCGGGAGGACAGGGAGGCTCTGGGTCGTCTGGGCTCACCGCCTCCCACGCTGTCTGTCCCACTCCAGCTGCCCACTCGGTGCTCGTTGCTGGTTTGAAGGGAGGAGGCTGAGGCCGAGTGACCACTCAGAGGACTTGCTTCAGCTCAGAGCCAGGTCTTAGAGCGCGGTATTTTTTGTTTCCAAGGCCTTAGTTCTTGCCACACGAGTGCCGACCCTAATGCTGATGACGCGTGACAGCGCGTATACCAGGCTTTCCCCCCTCCCAGGGGCCTCAGAGTGAGCAGACTTCTTGCCCCTGGGGTGGGTTTTCCTGGCGAGGAGAGTGAGGCCACGGGAGAAGGAAACCCAGGTTCGAGCCCGATTGTGTGGCTGTTGCCAGCACATTCAGACTCAGAAATGCCACTCAGCCATAGAAGGGCTGCGTCCTGATGTCAAGTGATTTCAAGTTCGGGCAGGCCAGGCTTCCCCTGTTATTTTAACCATGAGGAAAGGTGTATTTGGCTGTGGGTCTCCACTAACTCAGCACTTAATTCAGTATTGAGGACTCCCTGTCCTGATGGTGGTGGAGTTAATGCCTGCCCTGTCTGCAAGGGGGGCTTGCATGGATTCTGTGGTGAGAACCGGTGATCGGGCGCCTCAGGGCTTGGCCTGCCCATCGGGGAGGTGGGGATGATGGCCTCCTCCCTTCAGGGCTGGTGTTGGGGCTAAGCTAACTGCGTGCGAGGCCGTGGGGACACGCGTGGCCCCTTAGCCTAGGTGGCTACCACTCATGCTGTCCCTCGGGATGGCGAGCAGTGCTGGCTGGAGGGCACCGGGGCTTTTGGTCAGGGACCAGGGCCTCTCCTTCCTGTGCCCGCCGCTGGCTGCGGACTCTGCAGAGTCCCCGATAGTGGTTTGGCCGTGGACCATCTTCCCTGGCATGGTTGTTTTAGGTGTGAGGGGAAAATGAGTAATGGCACATACAGTCTGGTCCCTGTGCCCCCGAGCTGGCACTGGTGGCTGCCTGACCATCTCCCGTGGTCACAGCAGCCAGCTGTGGGGTGCTTGTGCCCACTTCACATGGACACGGGGCCGGGGATTCCAAGCAAGCCTGCGGCCTGAGTCACAGTGGCCCTCGGAGAAGCCGAGTTTGTCCCCAGGCCTGCGCCTGGCCAAGCGGGACTGGACTTTTCTCACCGCCGTGCTCCTGCTTGAGGCTGTCCAGGAGGCAAGGCCGGTAGCAGGGGGTTGTAGAGGAGGAGGGGGACTTGTGGGGACCTGTGGGGCAGATGGAAAGGGGCGTTTGGGTTCAAGGACAGCTGGCTTTGGGCTGCAGTGTCTTTGCATTGGCCTGCAGTTCACTAAGCCAGGCTTAGCAGATAAGCCGCGCCTCGTGGGTATTTGCGACTAATTCCTGTCAGAACGTAGCATGCCTCAGAATCTTTCCCGGCACACAGGTTTTGGTAGATTTTCTGTGAGCTTACAGGTTTTGGTGTCTGGGTGTTGGACTTGAAGCTTTCTGTGGCTGGCACCGTGCTCAGTAGCTGCTGGGCAGGCCTCAGGTGCTTGGTTCTGTGAGCAAGTCAGCCTTTTCTCAGTCTCAGGTAAACCCAGGTGATGCGTACTTCAGTGGGAGCTTTGAACTTCAGAGTGGGCCAGGGTGCAGTGTGTACCCAGCGCATCTGCGTGTACTGAAACTGCCCCTTCCCCATTTCTGGCTGAGAGAATAATTGCTTGTGAGATGACATTGTGAGTGATGCCCCTCTTGACAGCTGTGTCAGTGAAAGCCACTTAGCAATTAACCACCACCTCCCACCGGCCTTGTCTTGCCTCTGGAATCTCAGGTTAGCTGTGCGTTTGTTTGGCACTTCCCGGCTGCACAACCTTCTCCTAAGGGGTGTTCCCGAGAGCCGTGTCTGTAGTTGGACCTGACACAAAAATACTGTCTTAACTTTTCAGGGAGCTTAGCACACGCATGTTATTTCTGAAGCATCAACTTCCTGGGCCCCTGAACCTTTCTGGCTGGGTGTCTGAAGTGTGGGTCACCAGGTGTGACTAAGCTCTATGGTCGCAGTCTGGGGAACATACTGGTGACTCAGTAGGTGGGTATGGAGGCTGCTCTTAGATTTCCAGGGCCTCGTAAAAGTATTTACATAACAATTTGTGGTGACTGCTTCCCAGTGGCCAGTAATTAGTCACAATACATAGTGTTCAGTTGGGGTGGTGGTGCATACCTGTAATCTCAGCTACTCAGTAGGTTGAGGCAGGAGGATCACAAGTTGGAGGCCAGCTTGGGCAACTTAATGAGACCCAGTCTTCAAATAAAGATAACAAAGACTTGGGATGTAGCTCAGTGATAGAGGGCCCCATGGTTTGATCCCTAGTACTAGGCAGAGTGTCTTACGATGTCCAGGAGACAGGAAACACACTGCTCACCGGGAGAAGCTGAGTCAGGGCTCCCGGTCTTTACCAGGGGCCACTTTGATGACAAGCCCTTGGTGACCAGTGCCACCAGGGGAGCCATGCCCACCTTGGTGCAGAGTGAGGGGCCCTCTCGGTGTAGGTGTTTCCTTCAGGATTGTGGGGGTGATTTTCAGTGTATCATTCTCAGAGTTGATCTGAAGGACTCTCATTGCAGAATAACTTTCTTTCCTTTCCCAGAACTTTGTGATACAAGAAACGTCTGGCCCCAGGCTCACCCTTGGTTTCTCTGCCCTAGGAATATGAAGACAAGGCTGGAAGACCTAGCCGGCCACCTTCGCCAAAGCAGAATGTGAGGAGGAATCTTGATTTTGAGCCGCTTTCCACCACCGCCCTCATCCTCGAAGACAGACCAGCGTGAGTCTTTGCGCTGGCTCGGTGTGGGGTAGCAGACGAGGACCTGTTAATCCCGTCTCCTTAGGAAGGAGTGAGGCCCGTGGGAGGCAGGCAGAGGAGTGGCCTCAGCAGGTGTCACGCCTGTGTCCCATGCATTCTGGTACAGTGGCACGTTTCTCACTTGGAAAGTGGCCCTTCAGCATAGGAGTTTGCACCAGTTTTTCCATTCAGGCGATGTTCATTTCAGCATCTAAGAACACTGTAGTAGTAAATGCTGGGATGTACACTCCAGCGTGCCGTTTTGTGGTGTGGTGGGACTGCAGAGCCCTGTGGACTGGCTGTGGGGTCCTAGGGATCGCCGCCAGCAGGGGGTGAGTTCCCCATGCAGCGCCTGCTCTGGCTCCCCGGGTGTGATGAAGGGCCCATGTTGAGACACGTTCACGGGTACAGGAATTGCTCCCTTGTGCAGAGATGCAACAGATCTGTTTTAGTATTGAATTTCTCTAGGGCGTTGTGCTAGAATGGAGGGTTCCGAGCTCAGGACAGGGTAGAAGAGAAAGGAAAAAAAAAGAGGTAAACATCTAGTTTATCTCTGTGAGGCCCATACCAATCCTTGAAAATTGAAAACGAGTGAAATCTCAAAGTGCGTTTTGCTGTTACTCGGCTCTCAGCAGCAGGAGCCCCTGAGGTGCAGGCTGCAGAGTTAGGCAGAGGCCGTCGCACTGGGAGGAGCAGCCCCGCCAGTGCTCTGAGGGGTGGATTTGGCCCATTCTCGCACCGCCAGCAGCAGTCGTTCCCAATCGCCCAGGGAACAGGGTCCTGTTCGGCGAGGTGGCAGCAGTGCAAACGTGGGTGTGAAAGCTTGCATTTTATCGGTGTCATGGGTGTAGACCTGTGATAACACATTGTGTATTAACAATAAAAAAGAATTAGAGCTAGTAATGAAACTTGTACACTTGAAAAGCACAGCAAGAGCCGGGCGTGGTGGCACACACCTGTAATCCCAGCACTTGGAAGGCTGAGGTAGGAGGATTGCTGTGAATTTGAGGCCAGCCTGGGCTATAAAGTGAGTTCAGGACCAGCATGAGTTGCATAGTGAGACCCTGTCTCAAAAAGACAAAAAGCCCGAAACATAGCAAGAAGCCATGCAGGTGTACATGTGGAGTGTGCTTGCTGTGGGCCTGGCGCAAGGATTCAGGGTTGCTGCTCGGAGGGCAGCCGGCCCGGGGCTGAGGCTGGAGATGAGCAGGGCCCTGTGGCCCGTCAGTTTCCGTGGAGAATGGGGCAGGTCGCACCAAGGTTTTTCTCTGTGGTAATTATGGGTAATTGGTTTTCTTGTTTTAATCTGTGGAATTCATTTGTTTTAGCAGTGAGCTTTTTGCTTTTACCAAAAAATACTACAGTTTCTAAAAGAACTGTGTAATTTTTAAAAAACTGGTTTTTGATGCCGAGCTTTACATCATTTTGTAACCGATGCTGCAGGTGTCTTTTCTCAGACTCTTACTTACGGCGAAACCCATTCATTTCCCATCAAGCAACCTCCCCGCGAAGCCAGCCGACGAGGCCCAGAAGCACAGGCAGCAGTATGAAGAGATGGTGGTGCAGGCCAAGAAGCGAGGTGGGTGCGGACGCCGGCGCCGGGCTGGCCCTCTCACAGTGCTCTTTTCATCTTACGGAACCGTAGAACCTCAGTGTCCTCAGAAGCTTTAGTATTTTCAGATTTGTAATTTGTAATTTTCCATCAAAAATAAGAGATTCTGTTCATCCTGGTAACTTTATTTCAAGGTGCAAACCCTTTAAACTTCCGTGAGGAAAGAGGCCGTCAAGACAAGGATTGTGTGGTCGACAGAGCCGTGGCCGTGATGTGGGAATTTCTTTTCCTGCCGGGCCGTTCTCTTTCTCTTTCTCTTTACAAGAAGATGGGTTGGAGTCAGTAGGGTCCCTTGGAACACTTAGACCTCTAGCTTCTCAGATACTCAGCTGTGTGGCTGAGAAATCGGTGGTGGTGGAGTGGAGGCTGTAGCCCTCAGGAAGGAGGTGGCTCCGGCCGTGCCCAGCCTGGCTGGCCCTTCAGGCCATCGCCCTAGATGGAGTGGGTACTGGATGGGACAGAGTTTCAAGTGGGGAGGATGGGAACGCATAGGGGCAGACGTGGTGGCGGCTACACACGAAATTCTGCTGAGCAGTGCAGTTAAGTGGTTCAGATAGCAAAATTGTACGTGATGTGTTTATTCCTGTAATAAAGAAGTACGCCCATGAGCGTCCCTGTGATTGTTTCCAGGACCCCCTGTGAATACCAAACCCCAGGTGTGCAAGTGTCAGGCAGAAACGCCATTAATCAAATGTAAATACTGTGTGAATAGTTGATGCACTGTATAGCTTAGGCATAGTGACACGAAAAGTACCTGTGCTTGTTTGGTGCAGACGTGATTTTTCCAAATGTTTTCCCGCCCTAGTTGGTGGATGCATGGGTGTGGAGTGTGTGCACACTGAAAGCTTGGGTCTCCTCAGACTCTGCTGCTGTGCGAAGGGCAGGGCCGTAGCTGTTAGGAGTGGGCCCGCAGTCACCTTGGGAAGGGTGGGTGAGGGCATCCGAGGGCCTTCTGGTGCCCGGGCGATGTGGTGTTATTGGAAGCCGGGTTCTCCTGGGCTTGTCTGAAGTGTGCACCCTGATGTTGTATTTGCACTGCACATGTTCCTATGTAGTGCTGCGTCTGAAAAGTCCCCTGCAGGATGTACTGAGCGCCCTCAGATCCATGGGCACAGGTGGGACGGGGCTGGTGGTAGCACTCTCAGCGCCCTTTGCTGGTGTGCTGCAGTGTGATGTGGAGGCTATCACTGATGCACGTCTCCTCCTTGTGTGATTGTGACTTCCAGAACTCAAGGAGGCCCAGCGGAGGAAAAAGCAGCTGGAGGAGAGGTGCAGAGTGGAGGAGAGCATTGGGAACGCCGTTCTCACCTGGAATAACGAGATCCTGCCTAACTGGGACACCATGTAAGGCAGGGAGCCCACGCTGTCAACTGCAGCCGCTCCTCCTGAGCTGGGAGCAGCGCTGTGCGGGGCATGTGCTGCGGGGCGGGGTGGGCTTGGTACAGGCTGCCTCCTCAGTCCAGCTGGGAATCCTGAGACAGCCCCTTCTTGCCCTTCGGTTCGTCTTGTGCCTGGCAGCCTGACCATCTCTGGAAAGCACACATCTTTGCCACTCCCTAAATTTCCCTCATTTCCCGGGATCCTCACTGTAGACCTTGAACCTCAGCGCTCAGCTGCCTGGACCCCACTCTGTGCTCTGTGAGATGCCTCCCACCCCCGCTGCAGCCTCACCCCATTCTCTTCTCTATGCGGGCCCAGCCCTGGCCCCAGAGGACCATCAACAGGATTGGTGCTTTTCAATTGCAGAGTCTTTGCATGTTCTGTTTCCTGGGTCTGAGGCTCCCTTGACCTGAACCTCCTCATCCTGTTCACAAAAGCTCTGTGCTCCCGGGGGAAGACTTTCCTACCTGGCCCGAGCTCCAGGTGTCTGGACGATTCCCCAAGGCCCTGCTGCCTCTCTAAGGGTGGAGACCAGGTTGTCTCTGACACTAACCCCAGGTATCGGTGCAGGGCAGGCACCCGTGGAGCCTGTGACTTGCTCACTTTCGAGGGCCAGTGTCCACCTCCCTGTCCCCCTGTGTGGTCAGAAGAGGCTGGTGGGGAGCACGGGTGCCGTGGTGCTGGGACTCTCCTGACTGTGCCTGCGCTGGATCGATCCCTGCAGGGCTCTTGTCCGAGGAGAGGCTGCGCTAGGCAAGAGTCAGGCCAGGGCCTGCTTCTCTAGCGCTGTCCCTCGGAGGCTGGGTGCTGCCAGGAAACACGCAGCACTTTCCTTACATGGAACCAGTGACGGGCAGAGGGTCACAGACTCTGGCTGTGTACCCGTGTGGCCGCTGTGCCTGGCCCTGCAGGGCGCTTTGGACTTTATTGCACTTGATATTTGCTGCAGCCCGTGGGAAGGTTGCACCACCTGGTCCTAGCAGGTGGCCCTGGTCCCCCGAGTGAGGGTGGAGCGTGACACAGCCCGGCCCTGGGGCCTCAGCTGTGCCCCACACCGGGCCACGTCCAGAGTGCTGCACTGTCCTGCCGCCTCTCCCTTTTCCGGTCTTCAGGGAGAGCGTGTTCATTGCAGCCCACAGTCCTGAACACCTGTCGTCTTTGGAGTGTTCGAGCTCGTTGTCCTCGGCCCTCACAGCCTGGCAGCTCAGAGCTCCAGGCTCACCTGTGTGCAGCAGGGCAGTGGCTGTCTCGTGTGTCTGGGCTCCAGCGTTCCCTCTGTACATGTTGCAACAGGGGCCCAGCAGAAGATCGGTGCGGTCTGTGGATGCCACACTCGCTGAGGGCAGGGTGGCACATCCCTGGCCCCGGTGGTGTGGGTGCCTGTCCTCATGGTGAACACGCTCGGAGCTCATTTCTGTTCTGTGCAGGTGGTGCTCACGGAAGGTTCGTGATCTGTGGTGGCAGGGAATCCCGCCCAGCGTGAGGGGCAGAGTCTGGAGCTTAGCCATCGGCAATGAGCTGAACATCACTCACGGTGAGTGGCCCCACGCTTGGGCTGGGGCCTTCTGTCCCTGCCCCTGCTGGGAAGGTGGTGCTGACTGCCTGCAGCTGAGCCTTTGAGAGGCTGCATGCCACACCTGTGTACCCAGGAAGCTACACATAATGGGCAGCGGGTTCGGTGCCAAGTACTTTGGGTTCCTGGGTGCAGGGCACATGCTGCAAGTGGAAGGACAGTGGATGTGGCTGGAAAGCCTCAGGTCACACCCTGAGTCCTGTGGAAGGCAGGTCTTGGTCAGTAATGGTGGAGGTGCTTGTTGTCCTCGGGCTACCTGTGGGATGTTTTTCAAGCAGCCTTAGAAGTTGAAGCTGGAGAAGTTGCGAAGTATTTATTTGTCTGTGTTCCAGAAGCTTCCTAAATTCCATCAACAGCCCTGTGTGCAAATTGTAGCATGCAGTGTCTTGCGTGTCTGTGTGTATGTTCAGTTTTTGATTCTCATTGATGCATGGGTTGATTTTATTTAAATTAAAACCTTCTGTGGACTGGATTATAGTGGGTTGGGCTAAGCAGCTAATTAACAACCCCATGCACTCTCGTCCGTCCTTGACTGTGTGTTGTGTCCTGTGAGCTGTGTCTGTCTTGTATAGTCAGCTGCTTCGTGTCACTTGTCCGCAGGACACTGTGGCCACTCTGCCTGCGTGCCCAGCCCAGTCTCTGCACGTGGCAGCCTCTGCAGAGACATTTGTTGAGCAAATGGAAGCGTCTTACGTGGTCTGCACTGTGCCACCTCTGAGCCAGCACCAGAGCACAGGGAGCTGGTGTGCCGGCTGCCCATGCCAGGCGTCACAGAAGTTCTTCACTTCCGTGCCATCTTTAACAGTGGGCAGTGCTCTCGCTGGGCAGGCCTTGGCAACCTCCTTTTCCTCCTGAGAAGGTTTAGCATCCTGCAAGGGCTGGGAGTGTGCCCAGGCCCACGGCCAGTATGTGTGGAGCTGGTGCCCTCGCTTTGACCCTGGCCAGTTCCAAAACCCTGTTGTGACATCAGAAACCCTAGGGTTTTGGCCTTTTCATGGTTGTGTGACTGGAAAACTTACGAAGGCCAATCAAATGGTACTTTAAAACTTGGCTCTTAGACAAGTCAGGCTTGTGCTTTTGGTATCGGGGCTGAGTGTCTGAGAAGAAGGCTTTTCCTTCTTTTTTTTTTTTTTTTACTTTTAAAAGTCCTGAGCTCCTGAGTTCGATTCCCAGTACCAAAAAAAAAGTCCTGAGCATTTTACTATTTTTTATTAGCGTGTGTAGTGCATGTTTACATTTGTCTGGGGGAGTAGGTGCGCCTACACGTGCTGATGCGTTTTATTCCCTGCCCACTCCCTTCTGTCTAGGTCCCCTTTCCATTTGCAGACGGTCTTTTTTCTGCTTCCTTTTACGTCTGGGAATCTGCGTTTCTTCCGGGTTCCCTGATTTGGTGGAGTGGTTTTCCACAGGACCCAGAGGCACACCATGAGGTTGTTTGTGCTAACGTGAGCATCTTACCGCTGAACACCCCCCTCAGGACTGCTTTCATTGTACCCCGTGGGTTCTGGTGTGTGACACTGGCATAACTGTTTGATTCTAGGAATTGTTCAGTTTTTTCTGCGATGCATCAGGCAGTCAGGAGTGTGTTGTTTAATGTGCAGTTTTTTGTGGAATTTCTGTGGTTTCTTTTGCCATTGATTTCTAATTTCTGTGTTCTGTGATCTAAGAGTATACATGAAGAAAGTTTGGTTCTTTTATATTGATCTAAGCAAGCTTTGTGGACTAGCGTGCAGTCTGTTTGGAGAAAGTCCCATGTGCCGCTGAGAAGCACATGCACCCTGCTCTAGGGCAGACCACCTTGTAGGAACCTATTAAGTCCATTTGTTTGAATGTGTGGTTCAGCTCTGATATTTTTTGTTGATTATATTTTTGTTTTTTGAGACAGAGTCTCACTGTGTAGTTCAGGTTGGCCTTGAACTTGGTGGCAATCCTCCTGCCTCAGCCTCCTCAGTGCTGGGATTACAGGCGTGGGCTATATGTCATGCTGGATTACTATGCCCAGCTTGATTTGTCTGTTTGTGACAGTGGAATAGTGAAGCGCCCCCACTGTGATTGTGTTGATGTCTGTTTGATCTTCCATGTGTGGTAGTATCTGTTCTGTGAGGCCGGGTGCACTGGTATTCAGGGCGTATGTATTTACAAGTGTTGTCTCATGGGAAGAGGGTTAGTAACTGGCCCACCAGCACACACCGGTAAGACCATGGGGAGATTTTGTAAACTGGCAGTTGGACCCACTGTATTGAGGGTGCCAAGTCCCTGTCTGTGGAGTGGCTCCTGGTGGTCACTGGCAACACGGTTCTTGTCCGTCTCCTCCTGGAAGGATGAAAGCGTCACACACCTGGAGCTGAGAGCAGGCGGAGATTCTAGCCATGGCTCAGGACACCTCCACTTTTCCTGAAAACATTCACCCTTCGGAGAGCATGGTGGTGCGGGGTTGTGTCTGAGAGCTGTACCCGCTGCCTCGGCAGACGCCTTGCCCATGAGTTAGTCTCCACAAGCCTACAAGTCAGTAACCGGGATGTTGGAGTGGAATCGTGCTGCTGGAATCTGAGCTGCCCTTTAATACGGTAGCATGCACTGCCTAGGAGGAGAGGTGCCCTGCCCTCTTTTTCAGAAGTAATAATGGGAAAACAAAGCGATGAAAGCTGTGGGTTGCTTTAGTCACAGCCTTGGTGGCGACTGTGACCCCGGACTTTGGGGGAGCTGGGCAGTGACAGAGCCAGGGTGCAGGTGCCTGGGCCGGTCCTCGGGGGCCCTGAGATGCGTCCTCACCCTCGTCCTAGTCCTCGTCCTTGGAGAAGCTTGGGGCAGGGCCACAAGGATGGTCTGCTAGTGGGAGCTGTTACTGAGTGTGACCCCACGCCGCAGAGAGAAGAGCTGCTGAGCAGGCGGGAGCTCAGCGTGGAGGGGAAGGTGAGACCGATGGACACTCGCCTTCCTCGCCCAGAGCTCTGCCTGTCCTCGGCGCCTCTCCCAGCCCCACTGCGCCTCCATCGGCAAGATGTGACCCTGCGCCAGGCAGGCAGCGGTGCCATCGCGTCCTCTGTTGAAATGGCACCCATCCAAATCCTGAAAATCAAGTCCTGAGCGTCGACATTCCTCATGGTGAAGCTTGAACATGGAAATTGTGAAAACCACAAGTCCCATGAGAAAGAGGCTAAGAGGGGGCAGACTGAGTCCTGGCGAAGGCGCTGGCCACACTTCATTTGAAAATGCGTCCTTGGTCCGCGTGGGCACTCCTTGCAGCCGAAGCAGCTCCAGGGCCTTGTAAAGAATTAAAGGTGCGTTTGCCGGAGGAGCCAGCAGGTTGCTGACCGTTTGCAGATAAGGTGTGTGCCCGAAGGCTGTGAGGGTGTGCAGTGGTGTTGCTGTTCCACCACAGGTGCTGTGGCCACCAGCGTCACCCATGCTGAAGTGCAGGCGGCGGATGTCCAGGTAGGTGGAGCAGCGAAGAAGCTGGTGTAGAAGGCGGGGAGTATAACAGGAAACACTCCTGTCGGCACATAGCAGATGCCAACCACGTGGAAAGTGAATGTGAACATCTCCGAGGACAGCCACGCCCTAAAGAAAGCAGGGGTTCAGCATGTTGTAAGACTGCAGCTCTGGGCCAGGCATGGTGGTGCCATGCCTGTGACCTCAGCACCTGGGAGGCTGAGGCAGGAGGACCGCCATGAGTTTGAGGACAGCCTAGGCTACATAAGTGAGTCTGCACTACATAGGGAGACCCTGTCTCCAAAAAAACCAAAAAAATAAAGGTTCTACCTCTAGCTAATGGTCCTGGAAGCTTTTAGCGACACCTTCTATGCAGCCGCCTCCTCCTCTGTTGTCATATGTTGAGTTCTATTTTTAGTTTTTACCTTCCTTTCTAAGTTTTTTTCCCCACTTTAAAACATTGTCAGCATTAATGTTTTACAATTTACCATGCTGTGTGTTTTTTCTTCGCATTTTCAACACTGAAGGTAAACTGTATAAAGACTTCCACGGAGTTCTAATTTGTATTACGTATTTTTTGCAGATTTTACCCCATGAAAGTGCATATTACAGTGCTAACCCTGTAATGTGTGAAGCATTCTGTGTACATAGAAACTTTGGAACTTCCTCAGTAAATGAAGAGATGTGTTTTCTGTACATCTGCTTTTTTTCTGCAGGGTAGGGGGTCTTTTGGTCTGGCTATGTAGTTCAGGCTGGCCTTGAACTCACCACGATCCTCCTGCCTCAGCCTCCTGTGTTGGGATTACAGGCGTGCGCCACCACACCCAGCTTGCATTTGTAAAAGATAAAATTGCTTGAGATCTTGGCGCTTTGGGCGTGTGCGCAGAGCCATAGCTGTGGTTGATCTCACTAATCAGTCTTGTCAGATGTGTCAGGTGGAGCCAGAACTGGGGTACACGCTTGCAATTCCAGCTACGTGGGAGGCTGAGGCAGGAGGATAGGCAGTTTGATGCCAGCCCGGGCAGCTTAGCAAGAGCCTGTTTCAAAATAAAAAATAAAAAGGGCTGAGGAGGTAGCTCAGTTGGTGAGTGCCCTGGATTTGATCCCTAATTCTGCCCCAAAAGAGTGTTAGGTTGTCTGATAATATTTCAGATGCATAGTTACAAAGCTGGGACGTGCCTTTGTGCCTTTGACTTTTCAGCCTATTTCCTTCTGAATATAGTTCATCTGCTCATTATTATTATTATTATTATTTTTTTTTCCCTGTACCGGGAATCGAACTCATGACTTTGCACTTGCCAGGCAGGCGCTGTGCCACTGAGCTAAATCCCCAGCCCCAATCTGCTCATTATTTATGCCCCTCTGACTGTCCTTAATAGACCTGAGTGTGTTTTTAACCAGGTTTTATTGGTACATTTTAGATGCACATAATGGTCACATTCATCATAGAGGATTTATGTCTGCCTGTGATATAACTTGTTTTTCCCATTCCGTACTCTCCCTTCAATCCCTCCTCCTCTCCCAGTTTACAAAAGCTTTATTTCTGTTTTTTCCTTCTTTTCTCATTTTTTGTTTTATTTTTCCCTTCTCCCTCCCCATTTGAACATTTCCTTCCTATATCACAATACCTGTTACACACCTCGGTCCTTATTTATACTTTCAGTTTCTCACACCAGACAAACAATGCAGTATTTACACATGTATCCAGTTTATTTCATATAAGAGTATGGTCTCCAGCGCATCCATTTTCCTAGAAATGTCTCAAGCTTATCCTTCTTTATGGCAGAATAGTACTCCATTGTATGAAAGAACCACATCTTTATCTGTTCACCAGTTGATGGGCATTTGGGCTGTATCCAAAATTTGGCTATGACAAACTGCCACTATATGCCTGAGTGTTTATGCTCTCAAAAATACGGAATTGCCTATTTTATTGTGTGAAGCGACCTGTGACATATCCGCTCATGTTTTGATATGCTTCTGAAATAAATCTCCTTTGAAAAACGTACACGAAGGTCTTGACACGCCCACCACCAGGCTGTAAGACGTGTCTCGCTGCAGTCACTTTGAGGGGGCGGCAGTCACAGTCGTGAGCTGCTGGTGGCACAGGCTGCCCCTCGGGACAGTTTCCCCTCCACCACCAGCGGTTCCGGCCGGTGGGAATGCGTTAAAGAATTTTTTAAATGATTTTTACCAGAATCCTGTTTTCGCCAGGGAGTTTACTCGGTGGAGTTTGCGCCGTGGCACAGCACCTGCCTGGCAAGCATGAAGCCCTGAGTTTGAGTCCCAGTAAAAAAAAAACAACCCGTATTTTCAGGATTTTGGATCCTGTTCTAGGGTTTTGATCTTGGGGACTTGGGCATTCAGGATTCTAGTCTTTGGCCCGGGTCCCTTGGGATATTGGTTCCCGCCGCCCGTCTCCCGGACTGAGTGGCTCCGTGTGCCGTGGGTGCGGGGTTGAGGTTGGTGAGAGGCGGCAGGTGCGCTGCCCGGCCGGCGGGGTCAGTGGGTGGCCGTGTGGTAGAAGTGCCAGGCACAGCGGTAGTGAGCGTGGTGTTCCTTTGCACACGTCTGTGTGTTTACACGAAGTGCTTCCAGGTCAGGTCGGGAGGAATCGGGCTGGGGATGTAGCTCAGCTGAGTTGGTCAGCGGCCTGTGACAGGTGCGTTACGCCTGTCACGGGTGAAGGAGGTGCTCTGGTATTCTCGGTGTTGCTGAGGAGATGTGACACATGAGACTCATCGAGGCTTTTCTTCCAGAGCTCTTCGACATCTGCCTTGCCCGGGCCAAGGAACGGTGGCGATCCCTCAGCACGGCAGGCGCGGAGGTGGAGAGCGAAGGTACAGACCTAGCCACGCAGAGCCACTGCCCCGAACAGTTCTGGTGGGAAGCCGGCCTCGGCAACCTCCTTGACAGGAAGTGTGATCCTCGTAGCATCAGCCCCAGACGTCCGCAGCCTCACCTGCTTTGCGTTTGGGTCTGATTCGCAGCTCAGCCTTGCCATGCGCACTGCTCCCGCAGGGAGGTGCCCTTGTGTGGCCCCTACTCTGAGCTTCTGCATATCGGCCCAGAGCAGCTGCTTGCCTGAGGTCCTGTCTCGCTCTTAGCGAATTCCCTGGGATGATGAAATTGTGCGGCCCAGCACTTTAGATTGTCATGGAGCAGTGCGGAGTCAAAAGCGCAAATGAGCTAGGGGTTCTCAGATGTGTTCTTCCTAGACTGGGAGGCGGGGAGGAAAGTCACTTCCCGGGTAAGAGACCTCCTTAGGATAGTAATTATTTTGTGCTTCAGGGGCTGTGTGGAGTTTTGCAGGGCAAAAAGCAAGAGTTTGCGTTTATTCTCTCTAGCAGTATGCACTTACTCTTTGGGAAGGAGACTTGGGAGGTGACATGAACTCATTGAAGAGGTTACACCAGATGTCGCTGAGGAGGAGGGAAGACGAGGGGAGGGAAGGGAGGCCAGCACGTCCTGGCTGGGTGACAGTGTCCCAGAGAGGGCACGGTGGTCAGGGACAGGCTCTTTGTGGCGTGCGTGGAGATGCAGGGCACGTGGAGTGGAGTGGAGCGAGGACTTCATCTTCCGGGGCCTTGAGTGCAGACCTGGGGCCCGGTGGAGACCTGGGCTGGCACAGCTGTGTGCGGCTCCAGCTGTCGCCGGCGTTGTCCTCTGTTTCAGCGCAGAGTTCACCTAAGAGCAGCTGTGCGCCTGTACACGTATGTGCTGCTTCACGGAGCGGCATTTGTAAGCAGTAGGACCTCACAGTTCACGTGAGCCCTTTGCGCCTGACCTGCCGGGCTGCTCGCAGCCGCTGCCGTCCCCGGAAGCTGCTGCCAGGAAGCTGAGTGAGGGTGTGGGAAGAAGAGGACACTCAGACCCGGGCACTGCTTCTCCGCCGGCTCCCTTTGGCGCCCCCACGGGATCACTGCTCTTGTTACGTGTGTTTACCGTGGTCTTTTAAAGTACTATGTGGTATTGGAATTTAGACAAATGCAAAACAAGTTCCTCATGAGTATTGGTCCGAAATATTACAAGTGTCACACTGTAGTAGATCCCACAGACAGTCTGCTTCCATTTCACTTTTTAAAAGACAGTCTGCTTCCATTTCACTTTTTAAAAAATAATTATTTATCTTTTGTCTTTTTGAGACAGGGTCTTGCTATGCAATTCAGGCTGGCCTTGAGCTCACTTTGTAGCCCAGGCTGGCCTCAAACTCACAACGATCCTCCTGCCTCAGCCTCCCAAGTGCTGGGATTACAGGCATGTGCCACCGCGCCTGTCTCATTTCACTTTTTTTGTTGACAAAAGACATTATGCTTGCCACATAGAGCATGTTTTGAGGTATGCAGGCATGGTACAGTGACTGCTTTAGGTAGTTAACATAGGGGTCGCCTCACATAGTTACCATTTTTGTAGTAAGAACACTTCAGACCCGCTGTCTCAGCATTTTCAGCAATGCCATAGGTGGTTACCGTGGTCACCATGTTGGACAATACATCCCTCCTGTCAGACTGAAGTCTGGTTTCCTTTGACCAGTCCTCCCAGCTCCCTTCTTGCCCCTGGCAGCCCCGATGCTATCCTGTGTTCTGTGAGCTTAACATTTTTAGGTTCCAGCAGAAGTGAGAGCATGTGGTATTGTGTTTACTGTGCTTGGCTCATTTTGTTTAGCAAAATGCCCCTAGGCTTGTCCATGTTGTCAGTAAGGACAGGCTCCTTTTTCTGGCTGCGTAGTACTCCACCAAGCATCTTACCACCTCTGTCGAGGGTGCTTAGGTGGTTCCACTGCGTGGCCCTTGTGAGTACGGCTGCTGTGGGGGGTGCAGAAGTCTCTGCCAGCATGTCTCATGTCCTGAGTCTATACCCAGGGTGGGTTTTCAGGGTCCTGTGCAGCTCCATTTTTAATGTTTGAAGCCCACGTATGTTAAATTTATACTGGTGATGTTGAAGATCAAGTGATGCTTTTGTGGTTGGGGTTTTCTGTGCCTAGTGTTCATTTGTACATGTCACCTTACTTGTGCTTATTTTCCCATTGTTGGTTGGCGTCAGGCCCCTCAGCCAGCAGCGGGCTCTGGAGTGGCTGAGTCGGGTCCTCTGGAGGACTGGGTCAGTGTCGCACGGTGGAGGCCACAGAGCCTGTAACCCCGCACTGTGCTCTGGCTCTCTCGACAGATGCTGGATTTTCAGCAGCAGACAGAGAGGCCAGCCTGGAGCTTATTAAGCTGGACATTTCCAGAACGTTTCCTAATCTCTGCATTTTCCAGCAAGTAAGTGGTGATTTCTTTTTAGAGTGTTTTGTCTAAAATCCATGCATGCCAAGCTCCTGGTATGTGTCTTCATGATTGAGAAGTAGTGAGGGTTTTGGGGGGCATAGGTCGGATGGTATCATGTTTTAAAAAGAGTGTCATGGACCCTGGCCAACAGGAGTCAGGACAGGTGCTTTCGCAGTGGCCTTGTCCTGCTGCCCCGGGCGGCTTCTGTAGGTGGTGTGGAAGGGCAGGTGCGGCTCAGGGAGTGGCCCGGGCCATTGTGTTCTCTGCCTCAGGGGAGCCCATGCTGCAAATTCCAGGAGGGGGACGCAGGCAGCCACGGGGGTCAGGTGGGTGGCCACGCAGGTGCAGGGACCAGGACACTGATGTCGCAGGCCCCGCAGCGATGGGAGGCGGGTGGAGAGCAGCGCTGTGTGAGGAAGCAGTCGGAGCTGGGGGGACGGGCCCCTTGGGGATTGGCGCCCCGCCCGGGGCTGTGGTGGGGCTTGGGCTCCCCAGGCAGAGCTCTCGGAACTCTTCTGTCCTTAGGGCAGCAGACCCACCTGGGGCCTGTGCTCCTGCCTGTCCTGGTGTGGCTCTCCTCCTCCAGCCCCTCTGCGGCCAATCCACCTGCGTTCACTGCCTGCCCTCGTCCCCTGGCTCCCTGCCCGGCTCCCTCCCCTTGCCTGGCCTCCCCTGCCTGCTGCCCTTTGCTTCCTTGGCTCCAGGGCAGGCCCTCCAGTGCAACTGTCCTGCCGCTTTCGCGCAGTGAGCCCTTAGACCTACCAGTGCAGGGTGGCGCAGTGAGGGCCGTACGAGGCGGAGGACAGGGTTTAGACCGAGCGTGGAAGGGGCGGCAGGGTGCAGGGCTCTGCCGGCAGCAGTGGTGGCGCAGAGGAGCGGGCCGGACGCAGTGGGTCTGAGCTGGGAGTTAGTTGCTGTAGCCTCCAGGGATGGACGGGAGTAGGATTGCTTGCACAGGGGCTGGGCATCAGGAAGCCAGTGCAGGGCAGCGCCAGCCCCACTGTGGGCTCTTGGGTGCCAAGGGCCAGAGCCGTTGCCTGCTGGGGCGACTGTGTGTCACGCGTCCTACTTGAGGCGCTGTGTCCCGGTGTCCTCAGTGCTCCGCTTCCCGCCCCATTCCCTCACGGCCGCAGCTGCCCTCTGCCTGCCGGCTGTGCCACCGTGCCTGGGTCTCAGTGGCACTGGGTGGTGCTCTCACTGTGAGTCTCCACCCCCAGTCCGCCCAGAACCGTCCCTTCCCATTGTTCAGGAGCCCTTGAAAGAGGGGAGCTGCCCAGAGGCCTGGCCTCGGTGTCGGGCCAGGGACCTGCGAGTGCCCGGCACCCGGCGTGTGGCCCATGTGGGCAGGGAGGGGCGCCAGCTCCAGACCTCCACTCGCACAGGCAGACTCCAGCTGCTCATTCTCCTAGCCTGGGCGCTGCTGCCACCTCGCTCCTGCCGAGCTGCGCACCCCAGCCCCTCCTCTCTCAGGCTTCTTCGCTCTCACCCCAGGAGGGCTTTCTCCACCCTGCCCCAAGCCCCGCGCAAGGAGCTGTCCTAGGAAAGGTTTTACCTTCACCTCAGGCGCTTGGGTTTGAATCCCAGGCTGCCCTCCTGCTGGCTTCGTGCCCGCCTCACGCCTCAGTTGCTCCTTATCCACATCACTGGTCACATAGCCGCACAGCACAGGCTACAGGCGTGCCGTGGCGCTAGGAGTCTTAAATGTCTTTGTGTGATTGAAACTAAAAGACTGTTAAATCCAAGGGGAGGCTGAGGAGCCCTTTCGTGCGTGCAGCCACAGATCTTGGGGTGTGGTGGACTGAGGGCTTCAGGAACCAGGGGTCCTGATCATCTGCACAGTGTGGGATCTCAGTCCTGGCAGAAAGCAGTGTGGTGACCTTTCTAGTTGGCAGAGGTAAAAGCAAGAGGGTTTTTGGAAGAAGTGGCCGGGGACAGGGGAGCAAGTAGGCTCAGCAGGAGGCGCTCGCCATGTGTGGTGCCTGGGGTCCTGTGTGGTCCCCATTCCTCGCTGGGTTTCCTCTCAGCCCTTCCAGTCCTTAGGTTGGCACCTGCTTCTGTCCCTCCCTGTGCCAGGCCTGGGTGTCCCTTTTTTGCTCTCTGTTGTTACGGTTTTCTTTTTTTATTCCTCTGTGACTTGCAGGTGTTCCTTTTTTTTTTTTTTTCTGCTTAGCCCTTTTACAGGTCAGAATGTGGTGGCCTGACTGACGTTGGGCTTTCTTTGTAAACCACCCAGGCTCCCTGTGCAGTGGCTCCCTAGTCACATGCCTGGAACGATTTTTACTCCCGTGTTAACACTGGCCACTTGGTGGACAGGGCCAGTAGGTGCTCAGCCAGGGCTCAGGCGGGCGCTTTATGCCTGAGTGTCTTCCAGCACTCCAGCAAGGCTGTGAGCCGGCTCAGGCTGTCTCCTGTGCTCAGTTAATATTTTGGGAGCAATTAAAGGAGCAAGGGGAAATCTTGCAGGGATGGGAGTGCTGGGTGAGTGTTGGAAATAAAATGGGAGCTATTGGGACCTGAGCCGGAGAGGCAGTTCCCCAAACCTGGGTACAGAAGAGAGGGCAGGACGGGCAGAGGCAGGAAGGATGTCAGGTGGGGATGGCACAGCCACAGCAGATCTGCAGATTAGAAGCGTTAGCTGCCCCGAGGAGCCCTGGCTCGCCTGTCGGGCTTGGAAGGGCCCTGTTTGCAGCAGCAGCTGCCGAATCAGGGTATTTAATTTGGGCGGTGCTCATGCCTGGCCCTGGAGCTTCTTTCAGAGTAGCTTTGGAGGTGGAGCTGCAGACCTGCTTGTTAACTAGAGTCGGTCGTCTCCTTATTAAATTGCATAATGCACATAGGCTGCTTGCAGTGCGCTTGGCGTGCAGTAGCGTCAGACGCTGTCGTGCGCACTAACAATACTCACGCGTGTGTCGTTTCTGGTGTGTCCATCCTTCCAGGGCGGTCCGTACCATGACATGTTGCACAGTATTTTGGGCGCTTATACTTGTTACCGGCCGGATGTGGGTTATGTAAGTGAAGCCTTTCCGTATTTTATAATGTTATTTCTAAAGAAAGTCTCAGTGGTGTCCAGGACACCCTAGGTGTCAAGGTGTACACCTTCCATCCTTTGGCTGAGGAGCGGAAGAGTCTCATGGTCCCCGGGTTGCTTCAGTTTCCTCATAAAGAGGTCGAGCTCTATGGTGTTAATCACATTGTAGCTGGATGTGGTTTTCATTTTTTGCATGTGACTTTCCCGTCATTTAAAAAGCCTTCAGCCGTAAACATTTTAAAAGTGTGCTGCTGTTTTTGCAGCTTAGCAGCTGTGTGTGTGCACGTCTAACTCAGCACGCCGAGTGGGCTACCCAGGGCGGTGTTCCAGACGCAGAGTTCCGCAGGGGCTGGCTGAGGGGTCCCAGCAGGCGGGGCCGAGGGAGCGGAGTGCAGAGCGGGTGGGGATGGGGTGCAGTGTGGGGCCAGCGGTCCAGCCCCGGGGGGCGCAGCAGCCCTGTGGCCCTGCTAGGGTGTGGGTGTTTGGTTCTTGTGAGAGCAAGAGCTGCTCCGACCTCAGTGGCTGCTGCCAGCTAACGCCCCTCTCCCCCGCAGGTCCAGGGCATGTCCTTCATTGCTGCAGTGCTGATCTTGAACCTCGATACTGCCGATGCCTTTATTGCTTTTTCTAATCTCTTGAATAAACCCTGTCAAATGGCGTTCTTCCGAGTGGACCATGGCCTTGTGAGTATGCTCTGCGCGCCTGCCCTGCTGGCGGCTCTCCCCACGAGGAAGAGAGGCTGCGTTTCCCTCTGTTGGGCCACTATACTGAGCTTGAGTGTGGAAGTGGGTGTGAACATGCCAGTGTATTCCCAGGAGGGGCACGGTGTCTGAAAACGGTGCTCTGCAGGGGAGGGGAGGGGGCCTCTGTGAGCACGTGTGCACTTCTGTCGGGAGCACTTGGTGAGCGTGCACATTGTGTCTTCCGGGAGGACATCGCGCAGCTGACCATTGAGGCTGCACCCCGTCATGGTGCTGTCCATGGGAGAAAGGAGGCTCGTGTGAGACTGCGCTACACGGCTTAAGGAAGGCAGCAGCTGGGGCTGGGGAGATAGCTCAGTGGCACAGGCGCCTGCCTGGCAAGCACAAGGTTCTTAGTTCAACCCCTGGTACTGCAAAAAAAAAAGTTCAAGAAGGCTCAGCTGATTCAGCACTCTGCTGTCGACAGTCTCGACATGCTGCAGGTACAGAGGAGCCGGCGGTGTGGCCGTGCGGAGTGCCCAGCACGCTCCCTCTGCGTCCGCTGCGGGGGACAGGCGAGGAAAGAGGCTGAGGGGGGAAGCGGCTTGTCCAGCGTCTGCTGTGGGGAGAGTGAGGAGGAGCCACACTGGCTGCTCGGCCTGTGTTCTGAGGCCTGGAAGAAAAGGCCTAAAAGCGACTCCATCGTCTGTTAAACCAGTGCTGTCTTGGTGCTGACAGTTGTCACCCTGACTTCGAGGCTCAGCCACCCAGCAGTTGAGACTTGCTTGGGGGCTCCTGAGTGCCCTTGCTTGGGAACTGCTGCTAAATTGGTGGCCGTGGCCAGTGTGCACTCACACGGCCTTGTGGAAGCCGGCGTAGTGTCACAGTGAGCTGTAAGCAGCATTCGTGCCTGTGGGCGTCCATGCTGAGGAAGCCAAGACGCGAACAAAGCCTCACGTGCAGAGACGGTCGTCGCGTGGTTGTTCGCATGAGACTGTGGAACGGCGTCCAGGGGGTGCGAGGAGGGCCTGTCCCTGACGGTCTACGTGGTGAGGCCCTAGAGTGGGAGGAAGCATGGAACATGGCCTGTTGACTTTTTTCAAAAGTTTGTAAAACAGAACACACACTGATCGCCGCCATATTTAACCACAAAAGGAGCTGTTCCTCGACGTCAGTGTTTCTTATGGGCAGCGGGTGGAGCGTGGAGCTGCTGTACCTCATGGTCTCCGTGAGCACTTGTACGTATGAGGAATGATCAGAACTTGAAAAAACGTTCAGGCAAGACTCTTAGCCTTAGAATAGCCCATTGATATTCATGTGCACGGGGGTCACATTCCTTACAGTCCTCACTCCTGGTTGTAAATTTAATTGTATCACATTGTGCATAATAAGATGATTTCCACCCAGATTCCTGCTAATGTTGAAGATCCCAGCTTTCTCTTTGGAAACATGTAATAAAAACTGTACTTAGTAATTTAAGAAGTCCTTGAGTTGCAGTGCTGAGTGGGACCTGAGCACTTGAGTGGGTCCCTCTCAGCACTTGGTCCCACTCCAGCAGCCCCTGGTCAGGGCCAGGTCACCCTGCTGCGGGCTGCCCTGCGAGTCAGCCGGGATTTATAATAGCCTGGCCTCAGGATGCTCATGCCAGGAGCTCCGTCCCCTCTTGTGACAATCAGACGTGTCTCCAGATAGTGCCAGACAGCCCCCAGGGAGGCAAAATGTACCCATGGGAGCCCCTGGTCCATAGCGCGGCCCTTCCATGGGGCTGGCGATTTCTGGGCTCTGCTGTGGGCGGCCTGCTGGGTGGCCGGGCACAGACCCGACCACCTCCTCGCAGAGGCTGCTCTCACGCAGGGTCACGCCTCCCCTGCTTGGGCATTTTGCCTCCTTGAAACACCTGCAGGGTCCGGTACGGTGCAGGCAGGGCCACTTCCTCCTTGGCCCTCGCTGCGTGTGCTTACAGTCGCGGGTCTCGTGCGTTGCCCTTGCCTACAGTGTCAGCCCTGTGGCCCCTTTTGGGAGGGCCGGGGTGTGAGGCCTGCGTGTTTTTTCATAACCATGGGCTCAGCCTCTGCACTGAGACAGGCACGGATTCAAGCCCCAGCTCTGCCTGATAATGTTGTTCTCCTTGTGGGTGAGGTCCTTAGCCACTTTGGGTTCCTCTTGTGGTTTTGGGATTTTTTTGCAAGGGGCACAATATAATACAGGACATATTTTATAAGATTATTTATAGTAGTTGCCCAAAGAATCATATACAAGAGAGTGCACCGAAGAATCCAGCTGAGGGCCTGGATCCTGCGATAATGTCCTGCACAAGTCCAGCTGGAGGCCGAGAACCCATAACAACATCTCATGCAGGCCTGTTTCACGGATCTGCGCTGGGAAGGGCCAAAGGTCAGTGGTGGAAGCTAGAAAGTCTGTGCCAGCAGGATGAAGCATCTGTGCTAGCAGGCTGAGTGTTCTGCACTGGAGCCAGGAAGTGATGCTCAAAATAAGAACCAGAGTTCCCCTGAAAGGTGCCACAGCCATCCTCAGCAACAGTGAGGGCCCGAGCTCCTCCGATGATCAGGACAGCTGTGTTCCCATCAGGAAAGCCAAAGCGACAAACTTCTCCAGGAGACTGAGCAGTGCACCATCTTTCCCTCCAGAGCCAGGAAGCGATGCTCAGTGTGAGGACCAGAGCTCCCCTAAAGTGAACCAAAGTCATTCTCAGCAACAAGGTCCCGAGCTCCTCGAAGGCTGAAAACAGCCAAGTTCATCAGGAAAGCCAGCATGACGAGCTCCTCCAAAAAACCAACAGCTCCTTACAGTTTCTGCCAGCTCCCAGCAGTCTCACTTCTTCCTCTCCAGGTCTGCCGCCTACACTGCTGGCAACAACCCTCAGGTGGGCCTCCCACACCCGGCGCCACGCTTACTCAGTTCAGCTGGTGGTGTAGGTTGACCACCGGTTGTCAGTCCACCACAGTTCCTGTTCCTTTCTGTAAAGCGAAGGATCAGCAAGACTGGCTGGCACTGCTACCGTGAAGATTAGAGATTAGAGGTGGTGCTCACTGAAAATTTGCCTGGGCGGTGCCTAAAAGCTGCCCTCAAAATGGGCAGCAGTTGAATAAGAGGATAATTGTGTGAGGTCCTCAAGATCTAAAGGTACCGACTCTCAGCTACAGACTGGAAACTTGTGCTGATAAATGGTTTATTTGTGTGTCTTCCATTCGCTCCCTAGATGTTGACCTACTTTGCTGCATTTGAGGTATTCTTTGAAGAAAATTTGCCGAAATTATTTGCTCATTTCAAGAAAAACAACTTGACTCCAGACATCTATCTAATCGATTGGTAAGGCTGGGTTTTCAGAGCATTTCCTTATCCCCTGCTGTGTCTTGCACTGTCCTCGCTGCAGCTGCTTTCAGGGTTTGGTGGCCCCTGCCCTGCCCTGCCCACCGGCGTCCTGTGTCCTCCAGGCTCCCGCACTGCTGGACGCTGCTCTGCAGCGTGGGCTCCTGTTTCTGGCTCGGGGAGGTGTGTGTTGCGGCAGCTGCCCTTGGTGTCAGCTCTGCAGCTGTGGAAGCAGGTGGAGCTCAGGCCTGTCGGAAGGCTCTTCAGTGTGGATGGCGTGGGGTGCCTGTGCGGCACGCGTGTTGCTGTGGACTCAGGCTGGGACTCACGGTGGTTCCTCTGAGCCTCCCTCAGTCTGAACTCTGCCCCCGCAGGATCTTTACCCTGTACAGCAAGTCCTTGCCCCTGGACCTGGCCTGCCGCATCTGGGATGTGTTCTGCCGCGATGGGGAGGAGTTCCTCTTCCGCACGGCCCTGGGCATCCTGAAGCTGTTCGAGGACATCTTGACCAGGATGGACTTCATCCACATCGCCCAGTTCCTGACGCGGCTGCCCGAGGACCTGCCGGCGGATGAAGTGTTCGTGGCCATCGCCACCGTCCAGATGCAGAGTCGGAACAAGAAGTGGGCGCAGGTAAGTGGCTCCCCGTCCCTCCTTCCTGGAGTTGCTGGCCTGGTGCTGATTCAGGAGCACTATTCACAGGCTGGTCCTGCCTCTGCCTTGGGGATGCTCTGAGGTTCTCCGTCAGCCAGAGGGGTGGGGAGGAAGGTCGCCCTGCTTTCTGCGGTGCACTGGGGCATTGGCATGTTTGCACCCTCTGGTCCTCTTAAAACGGTGCTCGGGACAGAAGGCACTGGCTGTGTCCTGCTTGGGCCCAGGCCCTGTGGCAAGTTCTGTGTGTTCGTGAAGTGTCAGGCTGGCGCACACTCGGGTCCCTCGCAGTCCCTCTGTCGCTGCACTGTGGAGTGGCTCTGTGGCTGCATGCCCCAAGCGGCTCTGGCCTGGGCCTTGTTCCCAGGTCCCACAGGCGTTCCGCGTAGCCCTGGCCCCATGGGCTTGACGGTCTTCTTGGCTCCAGTCTTACACCCTGCAAGGGAAGCCTTGGCCCCCATTGGTCCTGTTCTGCCTGTGCTTGGCCTTGCCGGGGTCCAGGTCCCAGGGTCTGGTTCCTGTGGAGGTGCTGCTTCCCATGCTGCCAGGTGGCGCCTGTCGTCGAGGCAGCATTGCCTTTAGGTTCAAAGCGTTCCCAAGCTGGAGCAGAGCAGAATTACAAACCCTTCTTGTCCTCCAGCTGCAGGAACTGTGATGCACAGCAGTCTTGTTTCAGGTGTGTGTGTATGCGTGTGCACCAGCGTGTGACATCTGTAAAACCACAGGGCTCCTTTAGTGGAAGTACATACTGTTTTCACCCGGAAGTTACTGTCTGGTATCGTTTCCGGGTTTCTGCTGTTTGGTGTCATCAGTGGCTTTCTCTCATGAGCCAGGGTCCCCCGGAAGGTCCAGGCATCGTGATTGGCTGAAGATCTCTAACCCTTTAGAGATGTGCTCTGCCTTCTCCCTTTCGTCCCTGCCTTGCCCCGTCTGGAAGAGCACAGGCTCTTTGTCCTGCAGCACCCCTCTGTCTGGGCCCCAGGCTGCTGTTCCTCCACGTTCCTGTAAACAGACTCCAAGTCTTCACCAGGTGCCGGGCTGGTTGGTTGGTTGACAAGATCTCTTCCTGCACAGTTAGGCCGCCTGTCCTGGATGGTACGCAGTTTATTGTATAGCGTACCATAAACTCCCGCATTGGAAGTGGGTAATTCAGTGCCTTTCACCTCGGTGTCCGTCCCCCATCCTCTTGCACGACGCTCTGTCTGGCTGCTGGAGCGTGGCCTTGGGTGACAGCGTGAAGTGCTCCTGAGAGGCACTGAGCTGCGTACTCCCCGGGCGTGAGTTGTGTGTGAGTTAGTGCAGCAGAGCTGTTAGGAAGGTGCACACAGTGTAAACGGAAACGTGGGGCCGTGGCTCGAAGATGAAGATTTTGAGATACAGCAGCAGAGATGGAGCCTACTGGGGCCCTGGGATCCTGGGCCGCCTGTAGGAAGTCGGGGCTTTGGGGCCCTGTGGACCCTGCGGCTTCCAGACTGCACTGAGGTCCAGGCAGAAGCCAGGCCTTTCCTGACAGGCTTTGTGCAGCCTGTCCCCACCCGGCCTCGCGCCCCGCCAGGCCCATGCAGTGAGCATCCCTGGGTTTGGCTGTTTCACTTTTCCATTTCTAGGAACTGAAAACTATGGTGAAAGTAGGTGCGGGGTTACCTGCACAGTGGGGCATCTTCTGATGAGTGGGAAGTGGTAGTGACGGGGGTTAGCCCAGCGGGGCGCCGGCATCGGTGGCTTTGTGCAGTCGGATGGCATGGGAGTGGGGTCCACTCGGTTCTCTCAGATGTTGGGTTTGAGCTTAGGACGTGGGGAGCGTTTTCCAGACAAGGCTTTTCTGCTTAGTCAGCAACATCCTGCCCTTGGGGTGGAGGGGCTTTTATTTCTTACTCCTTCCAGGCAACTTCGTATGTTGTTTTGCTTTTTGTGACAGCATGTCACTATGTGGTACAAGTTGGCCTTAGCTCACAGGCTCTCCTGCCTCGACCTGAGTGCTGGGGTTGCAGGTGTCCACCACCACTCCCAGCTCCAGGCAGTGTACTGAAAATTACCTAAAGTGTTTCTGCTTTACTCCTCATCACTGGGACTTGGTGTGGTGTGGTGCCACCCAACAAGGAAGCTCTGTGCCACCCAGATGTCCCTGGTTTTATAGGCAGATAGGGCCGAGTCCCCGCCTCCCAGTGGGCGCTGCTGCCTCAGACCAGCTGTAGACAGCGCCGACCCGGCAGCACCCTGAGTGCTCTGTGCGGCCTGAGCAGGGCTGAGAAATGGGGCCCTGCTGTTGCCAGTGCTGCGGGCAGTCACCACGAATGGGACGTGTTAAATAGAGGTGTGGGCAGAGAGCTGAGGAGGGGCCGCGCCCCTGGTCACTCAGAAAGGCGCCTGACAAGAGCCCACGTCTGCGGGGCTGGGAGGGCAGGGCCCGGCGCGCAGGCTGAGGCTGCTGGGTGGGGGCGCCTGGCCGTGGAGCACCGAGCCTCGGCGTGGAGTGTGGTGGCCCGGGAGGCAGCAGGAGGTGAATGGGCATGAGGTGGGAAGTGGGAGGCGCTGCCGGCGCTGCTCGTGCCGTCACCCCTTGCCGTGCCCCACGGGTCACCCGGGTGTCTCCTCTGTGCTTCCAGGTGCTGGCTGCGCTGCAGAAGGACAGCCGGGACCCGGAGAAGGGAAGCCCGTCGCTCAGGCACTAGAATGCGGGTAACCTCGCTCGCCCGAGCGGACCCTCTGCGCCGTGTGTGTCCAGACCGGCACCCGCCGCGGAGCGGCGCAGGGCCCTTGTCGTGTTGGGTCCTGACGTGGAGTTGGCCTTAAACACAAAGTGGAAGAGCAGCGAAGGAGTGCAACCCAGGCTTGGCCTTAAGCAGCCCGGCGGACCCATGCCCTGCATTGGCCGTGGCCCGCGCTGTGCTCTCCGCCCAGCGCAGGCTGGGTCAGTGGCGGAGCCCCCCCTGTCCTTAATTTCCGCGCGGTTAATTAAACTGTGATGCTGTGATGCCAACTACTGGAACGTACGTTACGGTTTTTCTCAGCCGGGGTGCCTGAGCGGGGTCACTTGCGAGGCCGTTGAGGTGTTGCTGGCCCAGTTTCAGATAAGAAAGGAACTGCTGGTGTAGTTTTGAGATAATCTTTTCAGAGCTGGAGGTCACATTCGAAAACCCACGTACCAAAGACAGCGTGACCGGAGGACGGCCCCTCGCTCGAGGGTGGCTGCTGGTGAGTCCGCCTGAGCTCGCCTGGCCGTGCCTGTGCTAGCCGGCACAGCTGTGTGCAGAGCAGGCCGCGGTGAAGACAGCTGGGAGTGGGTGCCCGCTCCCGGCAACACTGGCAGGGAGGCTTCTGTCCGCGCCAGCAGCACGCCCCCTCCGCCTTCGACCCCTGAGCGGCTGGGTCCATTCCGTGGCCCTGCTTTCCCCTCCTCCTCTGGCGTGAAGAGATGCACCTCGCAAGCTGTGGTCGGGACGCAGGACCAGGCGCCGCCGAGCAGCCCGGGCCGACTAGGCAAGTCCTCTTCTCAGGACCATCCGCCCTTTCTTGTGTTCTAGCTTTTCCTTGAGTGTTCTGAGAACTTTGCCTAGGAAATTTGATTATCCACAGAAATGAAGTTCCCCACACACTAGTCCAAGGCCAGGCTGTACCACCATGTCTGTGGGCGCGTCCCCGGGTCACCCCCTCGCGCTCGGTGTCGCTGCCTGCCGTGCAGGAGCCCGGGTCCGGGGCCTGGGCCGTCATTTGCAAGTGCCTGTGTGGTCTGCGCGCCACAGCTCTTCTCAGCCATATCTCCGGCCCGGGGAGACCCACCTGGTGAAGGTGCCGCGTGCAGCCCTGGGGGTGGGCAGTGGAAAACCGGCGGCGGCAGACTCCGCAGCCCTGCACCTGCTGTCCTCCTAGCCAGGCTCGGGCAGGTGGCCAAGCCGTGGTCACCCCGTGCTCCGCACCCCTCCACAGCCGGTGTCCCCTCTTCTGGAACCCCCGCCCGCCCCCCACATCTCACTTGAGTTTCCCAGGAGGCTGCAGGGCAAAATGGTACCATTTCCGCCTCAGCCCTGCCCTTCCTGCCATCAGATGTTGGATGCCTTGGGCCCGGCGGGCTGCCCAGCCCCTCCCAGACGTGCTGAGCTGTGCTTGTGCCCGGGCGTCCGGCCCCGTGGAGAGTGTAAATATTTCTTACTGTACAGAGCGATGTTCCTCGACCGTACAGAAGGTGCGCAGTGCTGGCCTCAGGCAGCCTGTTCCGGTGCGCCTCCTGTGTGTTGTCCCGCTCGCTGACGCCAGTCTGGAGCACTGACCCCACCTTTAGTCCAGACCAGGCTCTGTGGCCTGTTCAGGGACCACAGGGGTCGGCTGCGTCCTGTGCACAGTGGTGCTGGTCCCGCGGTGGCCTGCGGCCTGCGGCCTGACTGAGCAGGCAGACTGGAAACAGACGCAGAGGCGCTGCCCTGCGGAGCCCGAGTCCACTTCCTGCCCCAGCAGGTAACTCTCGGACTTCAGGTCCCTGAGGTCTCTTTGGGAACAGTGTGCGCCTCCAAGGTACTTCGTAACTGCTCGGTTTTTGACTTTTAAATAGTTCACTGGTAGAAAACTCCTGGTAACTATTCCTACATACCATGTTTTAATTGCTTGTACAGTAACCCTTAATCTTATTCAGTAAAGTGTATCAATTCAGGACTTTTTGAATTGTAAATATGTGGTTTTATTAAATAAAAGACATGTAAATTGTTACATTCACTGTTGTTGGGTTTTAAAGTTGAAATTCTCACTTTTTGTTTATTTGTTGTTTTTGAGACAGGTCTCGATGTGTAGTTCAGGCTGGCTTTGAACTCACTATGTAGCCCAGGCTGGCCTCAAACTCACAATGATCCTCCTGCCTCAGCCTCCCAAGTGCTGTGATTACAGGTGTGCGCCACCACGCCTGCCTGGTGAAACTCACTCTGAAGCATGGCAAAAATGTGACTTGGAGCACCAAGCTGCCTGTCTGAATGTCCACCGCTGGGCTTGTGAACGAAAGGCAGTGTGGTTGTATAGCTCGTTCTCAGCAGTCCAGAGTGAGTGCTACCCCTGCGCATTGGAGGGTGCAGGCCCTGCCTGCGGCCTCCGCCCACGCCGTCAGCCCCTCCGGTTCTTGCACGCAGTTGGCACCTGCTCTGTGCCCGCCATGGGCCCAAGCGTGCTTCGCATTCCCTCGGGAAACTTGTCGGAAGCCTGCAGCTGGATGCCAGGCTGCAGCCCATGTGGGAAGGCAGGCAGGCGAGCACACAGCCCGAGTGCCCTTGCCAGAGGCACTCAGGCAGGAGCCCCAGGAGGAGGTGTGCTGAGACCCGCACCAGCGGACTTTGCCCAGGTGCCAGTGGCTGCCGTGTCTTGGTTCCAGGGCCCTCAGCTGCCGGCCTGTTGTGCCCGCAGGAGAGTGGCTCCCTCTGGGCCGGGGTCCTGCGCAGCCTGTGTGTGGGGCCGGCAGCTGACACGGCCACATGCGCTGAGGGCTGGCAGCCTGCTCTGGCCACGCTGGGCTCTGCGCCAGGGAATTCTTCCCGCTCCACAGCAGCTCTGTGGGGGAGACTTGTCCCTGCGCCCAAGTATGCGGTGAAGAGAAGCCCGGCGGGGCAGAGCCGGGGTCCACACACCCCCTGGGGCGCCCGCGTTTGCTTTGAGGTCCTTAGAGCCCACTCCAGCTCTAACCCACCTGGAGGTACTTGGCCACAACACAGAGTGCCCAGGTGTCTCTGAGGCTCAGAGCACTGGCTCCTGCTTTGTGCCGTGTCCTGGGTGAGTGCTGCTCTCTGCCCACACGGCTGGCCCCGAGGGGTGGAGCCATGGCAGGGGCTCTGAGCGAGCGAGCGGCCTTCTACCCGAACAGCACAGCAAAACTTGACCTCCATTGCCTCGGAAGCCTTGTGCTGGACCCCAGAACCTCGGGGTGCATCTTACGTTCCTCAGTTTCTCTCTCTGGAGCTCTTGGAGGGCACTGTGCCACCCAGAAATAAACCAGAGCTTAGGGTGCGGCATGTCTAGAGGCTGGGGAGGTTTCTAAGTCTCTAAGCCTCAGTTTCCTCTTCTTTAACCAAAGGCTCCGAGGGGACCCCAGTGGCTACACACTGGTTTGTGAGGACTAAACAGAAATAAGAGATGCTCTGAAACTGCACCATGAGAACCCAGAAACAAAAAGCTGGGCGTGGTGGTGCACACCTGTAAATCCCAGCACTCAGGAGGCTGAGGCAGGAGGCTTGCCAGCCTGGGCTACACAGCTAGTTCAAGATCAGCCTGAACTACAAAGTGAGACCCTGTCTCCATACAGAACCCAGAAGCATTGTCTTTGCTATGTAAACTTTGAGTATCTTGTTTAACTTGCATTTTAAAAACTGAGATTTCGGGGCTGGGAATTTAGCTCAGTGACACAGCGCCTACCTGGCAAGCATGAGGTTGTGAGTTTGATTCCCGGTACTGGAAAAAAAGCCAAAACAAACAAACAAAAAAACCTGAGATTTCTCTCTAATTAAATACATGCCATTGTATAAAATTTAGAAACACAGAAAAGCACAAAGAAATTCCTTTTATTTTTACCGTCCAGGGAAGACGTTTCGTATTGTTTTTATCCTATAAATAAAAATTTTCTCAATGAGTGCATTGACCTTTAGAAAGGCAGTGTGTGTGTCTCGTGTCAGCCTGATTGCAGTCTCCACACTGTGGCTTGTCTTCTAGATCTGTCTAGTGTTGGTCTTTGGCAGCCTTCGGATGAGTTGTTAGAAGCCTCATCAATTAAAAAATTTAAAACATTTCTTGCTTGGTGGGGCACACTTGTAATCCTAGCACCCTGGGAGGCTGAGCTTGAACCAAGTTCAAGCCCAACTTGGGCAATTTAGTAAGACCTTGTCTCAAAATAAAGGGCCAGGGATGTAGGTCTGGGTTCAGTCTGTTACTTTCAGTCACTCAGTTAATGGGAAAGTGTAGCTTTGTTACAATTCGCACGCTTAGTCACTGGCTATGGATCATTCTGCAGGAGGGAGACTTGCACTGCTTTTCCATCCCCCGCCTTCAGGGGACTCATCACGCTGCTGCTGTCAGAAGGTTTAGGGCAGAAGCACTGAGTTGGGGTGTGTGGACCCTGATGTTATTTTATGGACGGGTACGTATCTCAGGGCCAGAACCCAAAATCGTGGTGACAGGGAGCTCGCCTTGAAAGAAAGCATGTGTTTCCACCTGCGTGACCGAGGAGCCTCGGATGTGGTGTGAGTCACTGACACTAATTTCCACTGGCAAAGGAAAAGCGTGCCCTTGCTTCCAGGCCCTGTACTCTGGACAAGGAGCACAGACAAGTCTTCAACCTCTGCCCTTAGCCCTGCAGCAGCACTGGCCCTTGTTGTGGGGTTCAGGCCCGGCTGGGCCTGACGTCCGCTCTCCGGCATTGTCCCAGTGTGACTGGAAGCCTGGGCCACCTCCACCTACCTACTTTGTCCCGTCCTCTTCCTGCCTGTCGTTACCTCTCCATCCAGCGTAGGACTTACCAGTGCCTGACCTGTAGTAGGTCTGTCTGTCTTTTTTTTTTTTTCAGTACCAGGAATCGGACTCAGGACCTTGCACTTGCTGTAGTAGGTATTTAAAGAGCACGTCTTTGCAGAAGATGGGAGAGACTGGCAAGACCCTAACGGATGAACCCGGGTGAGGAGATGTGTCCTTGCCTCTCGGGACCTGGTCTTAGCAGGGCACAGATAGCCCAGGAGACAGTCGCTGAGGCTGATGCCTGGCGGGCGCTTGACTGCGGTGGGCTGCGAACAGCTGTGCGGCTGGCCCACAGGGATAGATTGCGCTCTGGTCTGCGAATTTTCTTCCTGAAGTTAGGTCTGAAACGGTTTGTGAATGTGCCTGTGTCTCATGACTAAGCACTCTCCTGCAATCTAATTAGAAAAACCACAATAGGTACTTTTATATAATGGAATATTACTCAGCTATAAAGAAAGAAACTCGAGACCTTTATAGGTAAATGGTCACAACTAGAGACCATTCTCATAAGTGAAATAAATCAGACCTGCATATGCAAGCACCACATTGTTTCACTAGTGTAAAACCTGAAAGAGTTAATTTAAACTAGGAGGTATGATAGGCATTGTGAAATGATAGGAAAACACTCAAGGGTAAAGGGCAACTGGGATGTGGGAAAAGAGAAGGGAAAGAAGGAGAAATTTTGTATGTATGTATATACAGGATAGCTAACATAGTTGTTTACTGTCTTCTATTTCTTTGCTGAAACAGTCAATGAGTCCTTGATTGATCAGCATTGCATGTCTGTTTTCATGAGAAACCACTTTGAAGATATCAATATGTAACAAAACAAGCATTGTTAATTTCCTACCACTTTGTCACTCTGTATTGTCTGTGCTGTTCTTTTGCTATTTTGTAAAAGGTTGTCGTCTGTCTGTTAATGTTTTCTTCCTTTTATTTTTAAAATAAAAAAAAAGAGAAAAACCACATTAGGAGGTAATCGGCCCAGGAGTGTCTTCTAATGAACTGTAACATCTCCAGCATGAGGGACCCTCATGAGAAAACGTTAACTTGCTGCCTAATCGTTGCTGTGGGACTCGCTTCTCGGCCGAAAGCAATGCCGATGTCACCAAGTATCTCGGCATCACCGATGTCTTCTGCGTCTGCGCTGTAAGGGATCTGCCTGTCCTCGGGTTCCAGGATGGCATGGGGAGTGTGCAGGGGTTGGCTGCTGCCAGGTCAAAGTCAGCAGAAAGTGCCTGTTCTGCCACAGTGAACCCATGAGCTAAAGGATAGCGTTCCAGTGAAAGCCACTTGCCTGGTCCGGGCCCCAGGCACCGTGGCCACTTTCACTGGGGAGTGTCCCCAGCCGCAGAATCGAGCTGCTTTTAGCCAGAGCCACAGGGAAGTAGTTCCGTTTGCCTGTGGTTTGCTGTTTCCCTGGGGCCTGGACGGCAGGGTGGAAGGTCAGTTGCAGTGAGACAGAACGGAAGCCCAGTTGGAGCTTTTTTATTCCCTCATTATCAAGAAGTATATTCAAGCCACAAGCTTTGAAAAGGAATTGAACTTGGACTGACTGCAGAGGGAGTACACTGGAAAATGAAGTCACGGCGGCAAAGGACAGTGCCGGTCCCTCCACAGCTGACCGAGCCGCCTGGAGCGGAGTTCCGACCTTTCTCTAAGTGTTCAGCACCAGGAGCGGATCGTCTTTCACACGACCCACATCAGCGTGGGGACAGGAGATGCTTTGTCCTGGCCCCGGACCCAGCTGAACACAGGGGCTGTCTGTGTGGAGACAGCAGCCACGCTCAGTATTCTTTGCACCTGGTGGAACAAATACTGTTGCCATTTTGTTTCCCAAAATGAAAGCTGGGAAACAAAATGACTTTTTGTGTGGGCATTTCCTCAGAGGATCTAAGAAAGTGTTTCATTCTGACTGAAGACTTGTCATTGAGGCCAAACAGATGCCACTGATTACTAGACTGAGCTTCCTTTCAGGGAAGAGGAGGGTGACAGAACATCAGCCCCTTCTCCTGTTGATCATCTCTTCTCTTTCTGGATGTTATTAAACTTTTTTTTGCTTGTTTTGAGACGGTCTCCCGATGATGTCCAGGCTGGTCTTGAACTTGCTTCAATTCTGCCTCAGCACCACACCCAGCTCCTGGAGTTTTAAAAAATCATCCCAGAAGCTAGTAATGGTTACACACAAAACAAGAATTAGTGAGCTTCTAGTTGAGTGATTTAGGACTGCACAGTTTAATAAGTACAAAGAGAATTTAATAGTTTGCTTAATGCACAGGAATTTTTCTGTGCCCTGCCCATTGGTTCGGCGTTTAAAACCTTACACAGAGGGGCTGGGGATTTAGCTGAGCGGCACAGCGCCTGCTTGGCAAGTGCAAGGTCATCAGTTCGATTCCTGATACTGGAAAGAAAAAAAAAAAAAAGAAAAATAAATAAATAAATAAAACCTTACACAGAGAAAAGGGAACAGCATTTTTTAATATTCAGTCCTTGAAATGACAGAGTTGTTCAGCTAGAAAGATATTTTGACAGCTTTTTGTCAGAAGTCATTTACAGTCACCTGTTTTTGTCTCCCGGCCCCTCCTGCTTAATCCCATACAAAACTATTAACCCACGTTTGGGCTCAGCACAAATTCAGAAGCTGAAAAATTGTGAGACAAAAATATAGTTCCATCCTAAATATAACAAGTCCCAACGAATGGTGGCAATGGAGAGGAAAAGTGAATGAAGGTCAGAGTCCGCTGAGACGGTGAACATTCTGTTTTCCTGCCAGGGGGGTCAGGAGGGGAGGAAGGCTTTGGCTTCTCTGATCTTCTGCTTCACGCCTTTGCAGGACAACATGAGCCCAGCGTGGTGGCGCTTGAGGGATTCTAGGCGCTGGGTGAGCAGCTCAGTCTTATCTACCTTTTCCTCCAGGTCCCGCAGGAGTGACTCCTTGCCCAGTAGCCCACACTTCTGATTCAGCTTGCGGTTGTCCGCCCGCAGACTGTCTCGGGCTTGCTTAGTCTTGGTCAAGATGTCCCTTCTGGCGGCCACCTGGGCCTCAATTCCCAAAAGCTCCATCTTTTTGTATGTGTTCTTCATGTCCATGAAGTGCAGCTTCTCCTTCACGTGGGTTATGATCTGCACGTTGTTGGTCACCTTGCTGCGCAGTTTGAGAACCTCCTCGTTCCGCTCCTCGGCCTTCTCATTGAAGGTCTGGTTCTCGATCTTCAGCTGCTCAAAATCAATGAGGAGCAGCCCCTCGGCCAAGTCCTCCTGGGCCCTCATCCTGGTTTCAAAATGCGCCAGACTCTGCTTCAGTTGCACGTTCTCCAGCCGCACAGCGCTCATCTCCTTCTCCTTTTTGTCCTCCAAGGCCTGGATCTGCTCCACCTCCCGCAGAGCAGCCTGGCGCCCGCCCCTCATGCGGCAGCTGCCCATGGCCTGCATCACCACCTGCTTCTTGAGGGCCTGGAAGTGGCGCCACTTCTTCTCCACCCTGGCCAGCTTCTCCTGGCACTGCTGCTTCAGCTGGCCCACCTCCTTCTGGTACCACTCCAGGTCGTCCATCTCCTGCTTCTTCAGCTCCTCCAGCGTGGCCAGGTAGTGCAGGTAGGCCTGCTCCTTCTCCGGGGCGTCGGGCTCGGGGCCCTTGTCTGGCGTCTCCGTGGTGGCATCCAGGCCCTTTTTCCTGCGCAGTGCCTCGCAGATCTTCTGCTGCAGGTACAGGTTGTAGCGCTGGTAGCGGGAGCGCTCCACCACCAGGGAGTGGTACTGCTCCAGGAGCTCCACGCGCAGCTGCTGCTCCTGCTGCTTCTTCACCTCCTCCGACCACTCCTCGTCCTCCCCTCCGCCCACCCTCCAGTGTATCTGCTCTTTCTCACTCTTCCTTCGGTCTCTTTCCCCCGCTGGCCCCTCGCCCTCCTCCTCCCCCGCCTGCTCTCCCTCCTCCTCCCCCCTTTTCTCCTCCTCCTCCCCCTTTCTCTCCCCGTCCTCCCGTCTCGCTTGCTCCTCAAGGATCGAAGTCAGCTCCAGCGACCTCCGGAACGAGGCTGTCCTCTTCCTCCTCGCTGCCTTCTCCGCCTCAGCCTTCTCTTCATCCTCCGCCTCCTCCGAGCTGCCTTCACTATGCGGCTTGGCGGACTCCGAGGGCCCAGCCCCGGTGGGCTCCTCAGGCTCAGGCTCGGGCTCGGGCTCGGGCTCGGGCTCGGCCGGCCTCTCCGGCTCTCTGGGCTCATCCTCGCCCGCAGCCTCGGTGGCCGCCAGCCCTTCCGTGGCCGCGGGCTGCTCGTCCGTGTCAGTGCCTCCCTCCGAAGCCTCTACCTCCTCCGCTCCCGCCTCCAGCTCGAGCTGTGGTTCCTCCGGTTCCGTGGGGGTTTGGGGGCGAGGGCTATCTCTGATCTCGGTCGGCCTCGAAGCCAGGCTGTCTCCATCTTCGCCTTCGCTCGCAGTGTCCCCAGCGTGCCCTGAGGGACGGTCCATCTTCGCCCAGGTCGGCCCGGGTGTGGACAGCGGCTGCAAGCTGTTAGGTTTCCCAGGCAACCAGGGGCGCGCTCGGTGGAGCCTACGATTGGCCAGGCGCTAGCCCGACGCTCCGCCTCTTCACCCCGCCTCCCGGTAGGAGCAGGCCAATGGGGAGCCGCTAGCGTGGGCAGGCGCGGTTGATTGGATACGGGTGCGAGCTCGCGCCTTGAGGGGCGTGGCACGCTCATCCGACTTCCTGTCGGCGCTTCAGTCTCACCAGGCCTGGGGCGGGGCGTCACGGCTGTGCCGGCGGGCAGGCCGGCGGGCACGAGCGGCGCGCAGGCGC